TAGTCTTCTCCAACTAGTGCTGAGGTCAAGAAAATGTGGATCTACACGTCTACTTCCTCATACGCTTTCATGGCGTATTGCTTAATTAGTTAAGCACATGAAGAACTTTACGTTTTAGGTCTTAAGAGCTGCTGCTTTGAAGATCAAGGCGTTTTTGTTCCATCTCTTCCTGGGTCTTCCAACATCCTGTCGTTCACGGGGTCGATACTGAAAACCAAATTTGGGCAAGTTGTTTCTGTCCATGTTTGTTCCAGGCAGTCTAACCATTTCTGTCATTATTTAGACGACTAAAATATAAATATTCGCCACTCTACAAACCTCGTATCTCTGAAACATTTACAAATCGTTTGTCGGCTAATTGAAATACACGTCAACTGATTGAAGTGAGGTTTAGTTTCCTACGTTTGTATTCAGTATACAATTTGTGATATACGTTCTGGACACTCGTCTTCTAAAAAAAATTCATAAATATCCTAATCACCAGCTTCATCGTGTTTGCCAACACGAAATACTACAAAAAAAAAAAAGACAGAAAAGTACGCTGACATTGTAATACATGTCCAACTCATATTTTCCCACTTTTTACACATTTTCCATTTCGGTTGCCAACTGCTCTTTTCTTTTGGTGCCTCTCGAGCGTTCACTCTACGTCCATTACTGGAAGGGACTAGAATCCCTGCGGAATCGCGAGATGTCCCATGGATGACGCATGGAGTAGCGAAAATGCTGGACGATTGGACTCTGCTGTGCAGAGAGGGAGTTGACCAGGGGGTGGGGGATATATCCAGCGACCTCGTGTGTTTCCGTGCCAGCTGTCAGAGCAGGTAAAGAAGGAAAATATCGCGTACCATTTTACAGCAATTCTTCATGACTGCTGAAGTTGTAACCGCCTGCTCTCTAATACCTACTTCTGCATTCACAAAGTATATCATACAACATGGAAAAGAGATCCGGGGTAGCGCAGTCGGCATAGCGACTGGCTACGGACCGGACGGCCGAGGTGTCAGAGTTCTAGTCCCGTTAATGCTAAGACTTTTCTATTCTCCACGTCGTCCAGACCGGTTCTGGGGCCTACCCAACCTTCTGTCCAGTAGGTACCGCGACTATTTCCCCGGATGTAAAGCACCCAGGGTGTGAAGGTGCTCACTGACCTCCATCTAGTGCAGAGGTCAAAAATATGTGGATCTAGATATTCACTTCCGCATACACCTTCATAGCGTAGTGCTTAATTTGTGAATCACAGGAATAATTTTATCTTTTTACTCTGTGAAACAGATTACGTCATGACTTTTGTATGCAAATGTATGAAAGTCCTGTGTAAGTATTGTTAGGTGGAGGTACGCGTGACGAAAATTACGGGTTCTACGTCGGATGATTGTATTTATTGGCACTTAGGTTACAATCTCTCTTAATTATAATTAATACAGCGCTATCATTGATTTACACAATTTACAGTTCACCGTTGTACATACACTAGGATTCTCCGTGTTCACTAGTCACCTCCTGGCAACGGATCTCAACACAGAAATTAGCACTTCAAATCACCCACTATGTCTTCACAGGCAGACTTCTAATTCTTCTTCAACTACGAACTTTCCGCGACTGTCTCCTACCGAGAACTGAACTTGTCTTCAAAATAACTCCTCTGCACGGACAGCATGGAAAACACTACCTTCTATTGTTAAGGATGTGTGTTTACAACTTCGTTGCATAGTAATAGACGTCCTATTGTTCCGAGCGTTTGCTTCGGGGGGAACGTGTTTTAACACCCGGTTGCCTAACAATGGACATGTTTGAATATCCCACTGGGTTATGAATATCTGGAGGTTGCCGAAAATAGATCCTAGTAAATTTATAATGACGATGTAACGATCTTTGTATGTCACTAACGGGCGATGATGCACGCTCATTTCCATATAGTAGATGAAGTATACAGGGTGACATTTGAGTGTCGCGCTGTGATTAATATGAAAGTTACACTCTTATCCTGATGTTTGAAATATCATGAATATCCATTCAGCGGTTCTCCAGTTTTCTTTTCGTGTGTACGGAGGGACAAACGTGCTAACTTAACAGGCGTCCCGCAGGATTGTATATGCGCATAAGAAGTATGTGTTTCACTATCATGAGAGTGACTGAAGCAACGTAAACCTGTGCTTAATGACCGTGGCTACAAAACTAATGTTTCAAACAAGAATCTGCAGCTGTCTGCTCACGCTGGTTCCTCGCTCGCGGATTTCTTTTGCTCTGATGATGGAGGTGATACCTTCCTCCGAAACATCGGATTATATAATATCTACACAGCACCACGCCCCAGATGATGACATTCTTCAAGAATTATTCTAACACATATATTTCCTATTTAAATGCTCCCAATATTTCAAGAATCATTCAAATATGTGCACAATTATACGACACTGTCTGAGCTCTTTAGAATCGAAATGGGAATTGCCGAATTTCGCCATAGTTTCAGTGCAGGTTTTTTATTTTATTGCTAGTGGGGTGGCACTAAGTCCCTTGTACTGCGGCCACTTCTGGCCTCTTGTACCAGCCCCAGATGATAGGTGAGGGTGATTGTGGAGCAACTGGTGGAATGAAGACAGGCAGGGGAAACCGAAGTACTCGGAGAAAACCTGCCCCAACGCCACATTGTCCACCACAAACCCCACCTGACCAGACTCGGGATCGAACCCGGGCCTCCGCGGTGGGAAGCTAGCAACTAACGGCTTGAGCTATGGCGCGGCCTCAGTGCAGGGGTTACAACACGGGTATGGAAATCCTTTTTGTAAATTAAACATGCTTTTCAAGAAGGTATCATAGACTGATACACGATCGCTCCGTTTCGTTCCCTATCCAATGCATTACTCAGCAATGATCCTAGTATTTGATGTTAAGCAAAACAATAATTTGAGGTTCTTATGGCTAACATGAAGATAGAGGCGACATATTCGTCCTAAACGTCTGTTGACTTTCAACGAACTACACCGCTTTACATCTCAGAAGAGAGAATTATTTCGTAAACAATAAATAAAATATCAAAATGTTCTAATATTAAGTAAATATAAACAAAGTGCGTATAACATAGCTTAGAATGTGGCATCCCGTAATGTTATTCAATTACATTTTGGAGGAATATACTGGCTCCATCTTCAGGTTCAAAATTAAACCAGGTAAGCAGCAGGTAGTCACTCTGCTTGCTTGAATTACTCTTCGACAATCAAATGGAAACAGTTTATTTCTCCAATACTTATTTAAACTTTTATCAGAATACACGGTGTCACAATCTAGGAGACCGCACCGCAAGAAACTCATTTTTCGCAAAGACGAATTAGCCAGAATTTAGAGTCCAGCCATGGCTGGCAGGAAAGCTGAACACAAGAACAGCAACCCTGAAAAATCTGAAAGCACAACAACACTAAAGATATAAACATGTCTCATGTATCATCGTTATAAATAGAAAACAAAGCGATAAGAGAATTTACCTCAACTACAGCCTCCGGAGTCCAATGCGGTTGTTTTTATCTGTAAGATTATTTCATACTTGCTTTGTATCAGAATATGAGTTTTACAGCAATGTGTATAATTTATACACTCACGTAGTCTGTATAACGTACGGCGCAACTGAAGTTACTTGCTACGTCTTCGCTATAATTCGTCCCTAGAGAGTCGTTTGTTACCGCAGCTAAGTTCATGTTCTGTTTGCCAGTCTAATGGGAGCTCTAAGCTGCCGCTAATTGACAATTAATTCCCTTCTAAACAGGAGAATTCTTAGCGCAGGAAGCAAGCAAATGCATTTACTATATCATGTGGTAACTGTTATTGGAATTTGAGATCTAGTTAACAGCTACCAGACAGAACTGACATAGTGGTAATCACACAGGCGCACATTCTGAAAATATTCGGTTCGAATCTCCACTTCGACACTAAATATCGTGACATTTTCGTGGTTCTCCTAAGTATCTCCAGGCATATTCCGGTCTTTCTAATTCAGCATTCGTCAGTCAACCTATGTTCGACGCTATAGATCTATATTCTTAATACTGGCTGCATCGTAAATTAATAATAATAATAATAATANGGCGGCCCGGGTTCGATCCCGGGTCTGGCCAAATGGGATTTGTGGTGGACAAAGTGGCGCTGGGGCAGGTTTTCTCCTAGTACTTCGGTTTCCCCTGCCAATCTTCATTCCACCAATTGCTCTACAATCACCCTCGCCTGTCATCTGGGACTGGTGCAACAGGAGAGAATTGGCCGCAGTACAAGGGACTTAGTCCTACTCCACTAGCAATAAAAAAACATACATCCATGTTTGAAGTGTGATTCAAACACACGATCCCAGTGTTCCAGGGGGCCAAGACAATTCATACGATAGTCCGCGAGGCCTCTGTGATCGGTAACCGCAACAAATTCTGGTGGAAATGTAGGCTAATTCTTTTAATTCGTTTAGTGGGGGTGAAGTCCAACTGGGTCCACTCGGCACGGCGGCCACTGATTGGCCTATTATACCTGCCCCGGGTGATTATGATGATGGAGAATTTGGTGGAATGAAGATTGGCAGGGGAAACCGAAGTACTCGGAGAAAACCCGCCTCAGCGCCACTTTGTCCACCACAAATTCCACTTGATCAGACCCGGGATCGAACCCGAGCCACCGCTGTGGGAAGCCAGCGGCCTAGATGTAGGCTAACGCAGCGAAGGTGACTCTGAATACAGCTAAGTTACATCTGTGATTCCAAAGGAGGTCACTGAGCCAAATTACGGACGTTTCCCGCCCAACAGCAGTCTCTAATACCTCTGGTAGATGGGGGAAGCATTATAGATACCTCTCAGCTAGTAGAGCCGGTCTCGCTGGCTGGGCGGGACTGATGGTAAGCACCAGTACCGGTAGGATATAGAGACTAGTAGAAATCATAGAGGGAAGCACAATTGACCAATACAGGTCTAAGTGCATGGGGAAACCCACCCTCTCTAATAACTAACTAACTACATCTGTGATTCCAGGAGGCATCGTGGCTTACCAGATGCCCGAAGACTCAGCCCGCGAAGCCGGCCAGGACCTTAGCGATTCTTCTTACGATGGCGTACGGCGTGAAGGTGAAATGATTGGCGGCTTGGGTCGACTGGTAGATGGCGAGGTTGGTGGAGATAACTTCAAGCTGGACATCGGCTACGGAAAAGGTGAGATCAGTGCACGACCTGCTGGAAAGCGGTAGGCACATCCCAGAACTTTTAACATTTGTTCAAGGGTGAATACTTCAGAACATATAATTAATTTTATGGTTTAAATATAACCATATTCGAATCGTCATATATATGGATGTGTAGCCTTCTAATAGAGGAACAGAGTGTATGGGTGTGTAGCCTTCTGACAGAGGAACAGAGTGTATGGGTGTGTAGCCTTCTGACAGAGGAACAGAGTGTATGGGTGTGTAGCCTTCTGACAGAGGAACAGAGTGTATGGGTGTGTAGCCTTCTGACAGAGGAACAGAGTGTATGGGTGTGTAGCCTTCTGACAGAGGAACAGAGTGTATGGGTGTGTAGCCTTCTGACAGAGGAACAGAGTGTATGGGTGTGTAGCCTTCTGACAGAGGAACAGAGTGTATGGGTGTGTAGCCTTCTGACAGAGGAACAGAGTGTATGGGTGTGTAGCCTTCTGACAGAGGAACAGAGTGTATGGGTGTGTAGCCTTCTGACAGAGGAACAGAGTGTATGGGTGTGTAGCCTTCTGACAGAGGAACAGAGTGTATGGGTGTGTAGCCTTCTGACAGAGGAACAGAGTGTATGGGTGTGTAGCCTTCTGACAGAGGAACAGAGTGTATGGGTGTGTAGCCTTCTGACAGAGGAACAGAGTGTATGGGTGTGTAGCCTTCTGACAGAGGAACAGAGTGTATGGGTGTGTAGCCTTCTGACAGAGGAACAGAGTGTATGGGTGTGTAGCCTTCTGACAGAGGAACAGAGTGTATGGGTGTGTAGCCTTCTGACAGAGGAACAGAGTGTATGGGTGTGTAGCCTTCTGACAGAGGAACAGAGTGTATGGGTGTGTAGCCTTCTGACAGAGGAACAGAGTGTATGGGTGTGTAGCCTTCTGACAGAGGAACAGAGTGTATGGGTGTGTAGCCTTCTGACAGAGGAACAGAGTGTATGGGTGTGTAGCCTTCTGACAGAGGAACAGAGTGTATGGGTGTGTAGCCTTCTGACAGAGGAACAGAGTGTATGGGTGTGTAGCCTTCTGACAGAGGAACAGAGTGTATGGGTGTGTAGCCTTCTGACAGAGGAACAGAATATTAGGCTTTCATAGTGGCGGTTGTGAAGAGTTTCATCTACTGGGATGTAGTCCGTTGAAAGCCAACCGACGATTCGGTGGAATATATCGCTTCAGAAGCGAAGCCAAGAAATCAGGTGGAAGTAAGCTATGCTTGCCACCTGCTTTCACGCCGACTTTTTGCTCGACTTTCTCTTCGACCCTGAAGATGGAGACGATATGTTCCTCCGAAATGTTGGTTGACATTCAACAGACTACATGGCGTTGTATTCCAGAAGCTAGTACTCTTAATAATTTTATATTTAACTTCGACTGGGGGGGGGCATTATTGAAAGTGAAACTTCTTGTCGTGCTCGTGATCTGTTAGTGCGCTACGTTCTCACGTTTTTATAAACGTTACCTCAGTCTTAGGGGCACGCGGTAACGTACTTGGTTGAGGCACTATTTAACAAGCCGGAAGGTCGCAGGTTAGATTCCCGATGAGGTAATTGGGTTTTTCAATTGACCTAAATCTTCTGGCCGTACTATGGCCCTGGGGCCGACTCAGTATCTAACAGAAATGAGTACCAGGAATTTTTCTTGGGGTAAATGGCCGCCGGTTGTCGTGTAAGGCTGACAACCTCACCGCCATCTGTGAACCGACTTTCTAGAAAATGTGGGAGCCTTGACGTCTGACAATCCTATGGGCTTCCACGGCCTGTTACAGGGATAGCTTTACCTTTACCTCAACCTAATAAGGCATAGGTCAGGTAGTTACTTTAACGTAATTGCTTCTCTGTATTACTTTTTCTACTTCATTACTCTAAAACCTGGGTAAAACCTGTTTCACTTATTAAAAAAAATATAAGTTTTAACCAGTTTTAAAACAGTTAACAATGAATGTTACATCCACGAGAAGTTTGCGAACTTAAATGGTCTTCATCATGTAAATGAATTTAAATAATAGTTACGCTGTGTTGTTTTCTCGTCCATTGTTCTAAAATTTGGTTAGAACTCATTGCGACCGTTTCAAATATCTTATCTATATATCGTATCTATCTATCTGTGGCTCTACAGCCCTTGTGAACCTTGGCCGCTTTTTCAGTTTCTTAAGCCTATGCACAGTCGGTATGACTCCTTGGACGGTAGATCAGCCAGTCACAAGGTATTTACCTGCAAACAAGACATCATAAACACAGAATAGAAGCACACAGACATACATACATTCATGCCTCAAATTGGACTCGAACCCACGATCCCAGTGCTTGAGAGGGCGAAGACATTTCATGACTCAGACCTCGCGGCTACTGTGATCGGCTGTTTTAACTAATTAACAATTTGCTTTTATTATTTTTTTGGGAGCCTATATTTGAATCTGCGTAAGTTAAATGCGCGTTAGATGCGACTCGACTGTATTATGTTCTTCATAGGCACAACCATGGAACCTCAAATCCAACAGAATACTCTATTTGCTACTGCCTGCAAATCAGTGTTTTCCCTAAACAACACAGTTTCGGCGTGATAACTGGCCTATCTATTCGCTTAACAGGGAACCCGAATAAGAGGTGATTACATGAGCAGATACCAACGTCACCGTTGGCCGGAAAATTCATAGCCGATCGCTTTACTACGTGGCACGAGGCTGCTGAACAGCCAATAGCGGTATCTGTAATCCTCTGGAGTGAAAGGGGAGGAGGGGTGTTGCTAACGGCAGTACCGTGGGAAATGGGTGTTAGCAGTTGTGGAGTTGGGAATGGATTTTCAATCAATGCCGTTATGGTGGCGGGGTGATGGACAGCCGTGACAACGCTGTAGCATCTGATATGGGCTGTATCGCAACGCGGGTTGCATTAAAACAGGGCTCGGGGGAATAACAGAACTGTGGAAATTCGTACACTTTCACCGCTTGTCCAATAGAATCGTATCTTATGACTTAAAGACGTGTCAACGTTTAGTCATTGACACAAATATTGACTAATGAATTGATATTGAATTATTACAAATATTACAATTATTTAATATTATCATTCCTTATTCAAGTTTACTTTTCAGGCTACCCATTGAGGCGGGCAAGTTTCGATCCCGGGTCAAGTCATGTGGAATTTTGTGCAGTAGTGGCACTGGGGCAGGTTTTCTTCCGACAGGGACAAGATTTTATCTACTCTCCATAGCGTTCAGACCGGTTCTGGGGCCCACCCAATCTCGTATCCAATGGATACCGGGGGCTCTTCCCCACGGGGTAAAGCGGCCGGGCCATGAAGCTGACAATTCACCTCCATCTAGTGCAGAGATTAAAAATTGTGGAGCTATGACTCCACTCGCCCATGTCATCATAACTTAGTGCTTCATTAATTAAGCACAGACAACTTAACTTTTTTACTTATAATAATTTGGTGTTGATGTGACATGTGCTGTATCACGTAAAGGAGATAATTTACGACTGACTATTTGTGCTTATTATTCGTGGAAGATGGCGTTAAATTTCGGCCTCGACGTGTCACTAAATAACATAAGCACTTCTGAAGAAAAGGATGAAGTTAGTAGTGTACGACAGCTTATACACGTATGAGAAACAATGAAAGTTCACACTGAATTCTCACCGGATGTTAGACCAGCCTGTAATGCAAAGTTGTTTTACGTCAAAATAAATGGCATATATTTTCTGAAACACCAAGCCCTGTTAAGGAAATGCTTTTCAGAGAGACAATACAATAGACAAGAGTAATGACATACTGATCGTTTGAAATAGACCCGTGGAATTGATTATCTGTAATGTAGGAGGTCAGCAGTCTGTCTGGGTGATGGAAAACTATGGATACACATATTTTGTAGCGGGTAAGTAAGGAGGTGAAAGGGTAGGGTATTTTAGATTTGAGATTCTCCTGGCTGTAGCTACTCGTATGAAGGTACTGACGATTCGGAAGAACGTATTAACTTAATCTTTATTTTAGAAGTTTAAATAAAACAAAGAAGCTTTTTCCTCTGTTTGATTTCTTGATTTACCCTTCGACCCTGATGATGGAGGCAGTGTGCCCTACCAAAATACCGACTTTCTTAAACCGGATTATAAGGTGGCACGTGCGAGAAAAAAGTACTTTTTTCTTTGTCAGTATTCTGATATAACGCCTGATGCCGTAATGGTGGAGCCAGAGGAGAGATCAATTGTTAGGCAACGGCTTGGTAAACAAGTTTCCGCGACAAAGGATACGCAAACAACAATAGAGAAAAATAGGGAACGATGTTTTCTCAAGTCAGAGTCAAAGTCACGTTACGACTGACGGTCAGTCAGTCAGTCAGTACGTCTTGGTGTCGAGCCAAATCTGGGTCTTATGACCAGATATTTATTACTGTTTGACAGTTTCGGTCTCTCTGACGAGAGGACGGGTCTGTCTTTTGTCAGAGTCATTGTCTGCAGTAGTAAGTTATTTGTCATAATGTAAAGAATATTTACATTTTACATGTTAAACATGTTAATAAATGTATATAAAATATATACAAGGCCTCTGTCAGTCATGGCTCAGTACAGCAGACCATGCCCTATTTCTACTAGCTTCCGCTATAACGACAGTCTAGTCACTTGAGATGTTTTCTGTTCGATCCGTGCAAAGTAGTTATATAGAAGAGTTCAGTTGAGATCGGGTGTTGGTCTCTGCAAGGATGGATGAGAAGTTGGCTCCATGAGCTCAGTTGGTAGTCGGGCTGTGAAGAGAAGACTTTATGTGTGCTGTAGTACAGTGATATTTGGAGTGTGTAATTCAGTGAGACTATAAGATCCTTTGCCAGGCAACGGATAGTGGAGACAGTAATAGACTGAGGGCACTAAATGTGTGTAACAGTGAACTGTAAAACGTGGAAATAGCTACAATGTTATAGTTGTTTGTAGTACGTCCTATAAATGGTCAACAGATCCAATATCTAATCCATACCCCGTCTATAG